CTTCAAGAATACTGAATTTCTAGCCCTTGCTGGTTTGGCTCAGTGGATAGAACATCAACCTGCGGTCCCCAGTTCAATTCCAGTCAAGAGCAAGTACCTCAGTTGCAGGCTCCACCCGGGAGGCAACCAATCAGTGTTTCTCTGTCTCCCCCCCTCCCACCCACCCTCTCTAAAAATCAATTAAAAAATGTCCAACAAAATAACTGAATTTCTGTATTTTCTTTAAAATACTATGTTGTGCAAAGTTTCAATTATTTTTATTGATTTCAGAGAGGAAGGGAGAGGGAGAGAGAAATAGAAACTTTAATGATGAGAGAGAATCATTGATCCTGCATGCCCTCTCTTGGGGATCCAGTCCGCAACCTGGGCATGTGCCCTGACCTGGAATCAACCATGATCTCCTGGTTCATATGTCCACAGTTCAACCACTGAACCAGGCTGGCTGGGCTACAATGTTTCAATTCTTAAGAATAGATTTAGACACTATGCTTTCAAATAGAGATTTGAGTGTTACCTTTTTGTTTCACAATTTTACCAATGTCGATTCCACTTTGACCTCAGAGTTAAGTCAAACTTATCTAAATCATATAGGGAGCAAATCATTACTATTCTTGATCATTTAAGATTAAGCGGCCCAACCGCTTCACTTAGTGGTTGAGCATCAACCTATGAACCAGGTCATGGTTTGATTCCAGGTCAGGGCACATGCCTGGGTTGTGGGCTTGATCCCCAGTGGGGGGTGTGCAGGAGGCAGCCAATCAATGATTCTCTCTCATCATTGATGTTTCTATCTCTCCCTTTCCCTTCCTCTCTGAAATCAATAAAAATGTATTTATTAAAAAAAAAAAAAAAAAAGGACTAAGTGACACCCTCCGTTAACTCAAAATGGCAGAAAGCAGAACTGAATTTTACTCCAGCATTGCTCTGGTCACTAACCAACATATTCTGTATTCAACACAGAAAACACAATACCCTTATGTAGCTAGTTATCTGTGACCCTATAGGGGAGGCAAACAAAAACTGTCAAGCCACCTCAATCACATCACCTTAATTTAAATGGATGGGAGGTAGGAATCTGTTACCTTCCTAACACTAAGTTCTTTATTTGTGAATATTAATTAGGTTCCTGGTTTCCCCATGAAGATGGAACAAAAACCCAATTTCTCCATCACACCCTGACACACTTCAATGTAAGCAGAATTCTCTTAATCTCCTTTAGGAGTTGTGGTATAATGTAGGTAAAAATCTTGCCTTAATTCCACTTACCTACTGTACTAATAAACAGAAACAAATCTTTTTTATGGTTGTTGGAGAGGCTTTTAAAAACAACCAATTCAGCAACTGCTGCTATGCTCAATTTTTAGCAGTTTCCAAACACAAAAAATTGCCCATTATCATGGAAGGATAAATTCTTCTACACCAGAAAAACGTTTAATTGGAAAGGCATAAAACATTTACCACCTCCTCCTTTTTTACTCATGTTTTAAACATGTTACATACCCCAGCTCCAGTTAGAACTATTATTTTTTTGCATTCCTGCAGTAATTTCACAGCATCTTCTATTGTATTAATATCTTTTCTTTTTTTCCTTTTTGGTGGTTCTGAAAGGATATTAATAACAATCTGCCACAGTGTCATATCATCCCATTCAGGCGGAGGAATTGTTTCTGGTAGTAAATCTTTAAGAATTGTTCGAGGATCTGTGCCAATCATGAGATGTTGCTGAACAAAAGCATATGGACCTATATTAAGAGGACAAAGAATTACATCAAATTCACATCCAATTAATTTAAAACCTCATTTATTTTCTGAAGTAATGAATTAACAATCTAAGGTTTTTTTTAATAAAGTAATAAAATGCAATATAAAAATATTTCATTTTCACAGCATCCTCAGAACGAATGCTATATCCCAATGAAATTAGGGAGATCAAATCAAGAGTTGGGTCTGCCCCTTGAATTATAAAATACAAAATATTTTAAGAGTCAAATTAATTACCAGAGTTAAATTTTGATGGTTAAAATTCAGAAATATACTCCATAATGAGTAACAGGAGCATGTATATACAAAAGGGTTCTACAAATCAACATAGGAAAGATCCTACCAATCCCAAAAGCCCATACTATTTATCATTAAAGACATAAGGCAAAGCCTTGGCAAGGTAACTCAGTTTAGTTAGAGCATCACCCCAACACACTAAGGTGGTAGATTCGATCCCCGGTGAGGGCATATACAAGAATTAACCAATGAATGCATAAATAAGTGGAACAACAAGCTGATGTTTCTCTCTCTCTCTCTCTCTCTCTCTCTCTCCCCCCTCTCTCCACCTTCCATTCTCTCTCTAAAATTATAATGTTAAAAAAAGACATAAATGAAAAGGAAATTTATATACCTCTCTAAGGAAATCTATACATAACTACTACCTTTTCAATTTTTTTCAGTAATAATATTCAATTTGATCTTAACCAATCTCCGAAAATGATACATATAATGCTGATACGTTTTAAGCACTGATTTTTTTAAAAATATATTTTATTGATTTTTTACAGAGAGGAAGGGAGAGGGATAGAGAGTTAGAAACATCGATGAGAGAGAAACATCAATCAGCCGCCTCCTGCACACTCCCCACTGGGGATGTGCCCGCAACCAAGGTACATGCCCTTGACCGGAATCGAACCTGGGACCCTTTAGTCCGCAGGCCGACGCTCAGGCAAGCACTGATTTTTTTTTACACTGACATTTCTTAAGTCAGTTTTCTAGCTTGAGAAAACCAAAAAGACAGTAATAATATGGACACTAAGGAACTAATCATCACTGAATTTAAATAGTCAAGAATGAAGGCACATCAAGAAAAACATCATTTTCGTGATGGTCATGTTATAACTTTAGTATAAATACCTAACAGTGTTCTCTACTGCTAAAGTAGGTTTCCAGTTTTGAGTACTTGAAACACAGTTTATTCTTATGTTATTATTAATTATTGTATTATTTACTTGTATCACAACTATAAAGCTACTTTTGCCCACCCCTGTACTTTCCCATTTCATCAACATAGTTGAAGATTTACTGAGCACAAATTATGTGCCAGACACTTTTCTAGGAACTGACAAAACAGCATACAAATCAGTTTAAAAAAAAATCCCTGTCCCCAATAGGGATTATATTCTAGTATAAGAAACACAATAAAAAAGTTAAGATTCAGCCCTGACCGGTTTGGCTCAGTGGATAGAGCGTCGGTCTGCGGACTCAAGGGTCCCAGGTTCGATTCTAGTCAAGGGCATGTACCTTGGTTGCGGACACATCCCCAGTGGGAGGTGTGCAGGAGGCGGCTGATCGATGTTTCTCTCTCATCGATGTTTCTGACTCTCTATCCCTCTCCCTTCCTCTCTGTAAAAAAATCAATAAAATATATTTTAAAAAAAAAAAAAAGTTAAGATTCAGCCCGGCCTGTGTGGCTCAGTTGTTGAGCGTCGACCTATGAACCAGGAGGTCACAGTTCGATTCCCAGTCAGGGCACATGCCCCAGCTGCAGGCTCAATCCCCAGTGGGGGACGTGCAGGAGAAAGCAGATTGATATTTCTCTCTTTCTAAAAGCAATAAAACATCTTTTTTTTAAAAGCGGTATGTTAAAAGAAAAGGAAGAACAAATAGGAAGGAAGAGCATTACACAGAGAAAACGTGAAAAGGACCCAAGGACCTGAGGTGTGAGAAGGACCTGGTTGTTTGATAAATAAATACTAGAGGCCAACTTCCATGGGCGTGAGCTGTTTAAAAACAAAAACAGAAGCACTAGACTTTCCCTAGAAACATAAATCTTAGCAAGCACCTAAGGAACCTCATCACCAGGTTATAAGGAGGCAGATAATTATATTTTTAGTTAGCATAAAACAGAAATACAAAGAAAAAGACAATGTTTACTCTCTGAAGCTGTGAAACCATACCTATCCGTGGCCTTGGAGTCCAGTCACTAGAGCTTGCATGTGAGGCTCTATCATCCTCATCACTTTCACAGGAATGAAAACCATTGGTAATTATTTCATCACCAAACAGAAGGTTATCTGCAAAAGAAACCAAAAGCAACTCAAGTCTGCTGAACAATCTGCATCTAAAATGTATGAAGATCGGGGCCCTGGCCGGGTAGCTCAGTTGGTTAGATATGCCAAGGTTGTGGGTTCAATCCCGGGTCAGGGAGCATACAACAATCAACCAATGAATGCATAACTAAGTGGAACAACAAATCCATGTTTCTCTCACCCCACCCTTCCTCGCTCTCAAAACAATTTTTTAAAAAATGGCCCTGGCCTGTGTCTCAGTGCTTAGAACTTCGGCCCACAAAAGAAAGGTTGCGGGTTCAAGTCCCGGTTAAAGGCATGTGCCTGGGTTGCAGGTTCAGATCCTCGGGCTTTGTGCTGGAGGCAGCCAATTGATGAGTCTCGCTCATGTAGGTATCTCCGGCCCCGCCTTCCTTCTTTCTCTAGGGGGAAAAAATCAATGGGAAAAATATCCTAGGGTGAGGATTAACAAAAATAAAAATAAAATAGCATGAAGATCTGTAATGGTTATGATGTAATGATTTTCACTGAATAAAACACGTTCAATTCCCAGTCAGGGCATATACCCAGGTTTTGGGTTTGGCAACCCATCAATGTTTCTCTCCCTTCCTCTCTTTCTCTCTCTCTCTCTCTTAACAAAGTCAATAAAAACATTTAAAAGAATGCCTACTGGGTCATCTTGCCTGACTGGGTAGCTCAGTTGGTTCATAGGAACAGTATTTTCTCCTTAAGGGATTCTAACCTCAATCTAAAAGTCTCAGTTCATCGAAAATCTAGATATAAGTCGTCTACTAAATCCAAACACAAAAAGGAGTCATCTAGTTAGACTGAACTTACCAACTACAAACAATGGAGCTCGTGAAATCTATCCACTACAAATTCACCGAAAAAAGTGCCAATGAAACTACGGCAACTTGCAACTTCTGTAAACAGACACAGACGGCTTTGCCTCAGTCCGTTTCCCCTATTACACTGTGGCCTGAAATGAGCGGTCTTCTGCCTAATCCAGTCCCTAACGCACAGGCCATCTTCACAGACAGCCCGGTGAGCCCGCCGACTCCATTCACTGACGCCGACACTGATGGAGACGCACCTCCACCCGGGACAGAAAACTCCGCGGATCGGAAACACGCAACTTCAAGGGAGACGGGACACAGACAACCAACACAGCAGACGTGTTTAGTGTGCCAGAAAAAAATGTCAATTCGCGTTCCGGGGTTGTATTTACACACAGGCAAGGGTGAGAACTAAACTGAAAACAACGCGAACATCGGAGGAGAAACTGGTGGCGGCCAGGACTCTGCAAGCGCCGCTGCTCCCCTCTGCCCCCCGCCACCAGCTGCGCCACGGGACGGGCTTCGGGAACAGCTGCGCTCTCGGCAATGTGCAGGGTATGGCCTTAGAATGTAGCTTTGCTCTTAAAAATGTAAGACAAATGTAAAGACTAAGATCCTTCCCCCCCAAAAAAAGCCGCGAATTGCACCGGTATCCGTTTGCAAAGACAAGTACAAAAAGATGGGCAAAAGTTGCAGGTTTGAGTGCTGGGGGGCGGGGGGAGGAGGGGGAGCTGCACCGTTTAACGAAAGCGCCGCATCCCGAAAGGGTGGGAGGCGAGAGAAACTTATTTCAAAACCGACGGCGAGCTGTCCGCCCGGCGGCTGCACACCGCGCCCCGGGGCCCGGCGACGGCGGGAGGGGAAGCCCGCTGGCACCCCCCTAGCAGGAATG